CATAAAAAAATTTTTCAATTTTACTTCGGACTATTCCTTCTAGTGTCTTACACAGAGGGAAACTGGACAACTATTGCCTTTTTTGTAAAGTGGAATTATGTTTGCATATCTAAATTGAATCGGCAGTTGACTAGTAACAAAAGATTCCCTAAAAATTAATGCATGTGGTAGAGCAAAAGTATTTGATGAATTTCTGAGCAGTGCTGAATGAAGATTGTCTGGACCACATACTTGGTTTTGATCAAGGTTCTGAAGTCGAATTAAAACATTATTGTATGTTATTTCTTCAGGAGAAAGACCAGTAAATCTGCAAGTGCAATTTTGTATTCTTGATTCAAAGAATGGTAGTTTACCTTGGTCTTCAATTACAAAAACATCCTGGAAGCATTTATTTAAAATATTTGAAATATCCAATTGATCTTGAGATAATTCTCCATCAGGTTTTTTCAAAATATTTATTGACTTTTTTACATTTAAGTGATTGTTAATGTATTTATAGAGCAAATTGAGATTTTTTTTAGATTTCAAAACTAAATCTCTTTTGTAAGTGAGACGGGCATTTTTCAATTCTGATTTTACAAGACCACATAAATTTTTGAAATCATTATCCAAATTTACATCTTTCCATTTACCAACACAGTTTGTATAATGTAGATTCTTTTTTTCTGATAAGATCTTTTAATTTTTTATTTATCCACGAAGTTGCTTTATTTTTTTAGAAGTAAAACATCAACAATTGGAATGAATAAATTACTTGCTACGCTGGTATAATAAATCAACTCATCATAAACCTCCTGGACCTGTTTATTTTCAAATAAATTGACCCAGTCAACATTTGAAATGAATTGTGATATTTTATCAAGTTTTGCTTTTTTATAAAAGTATATCTGTCTTTTAGAACACTTACTTAATTTTTTAAACAGTAATCAAAACAGATAATCAAATGCCCCTTGTCAATATTTACTAGCGTAAATTTTGTTTCCACTGTGCACACATTGCCAGATTCAGTTTTAAAAATTACATTTAAATTATTTGGTACAACTTAATTTGATATTTAGAATGTAGGGACATTTACATGTTGATATAGAAATTTTGTTTATCAGATTTACAAATTTTTGCTCAATGTCATTATCATTTTTGATTGAAGATACACACCATTAGATTGATGGAAAATTTAAATCACAACAGATTGAAAATTTAAAACACCAACAGATTGACAGAAAATTTAAATCTCCCATTATCAAATTATCTTTAAATCAATCAATTTAACCAGTTCCTTATAAACAAATTTAAAACATAAAATAAAAATAAAAAAACTTAATCAAAATCATCCATATCAGTAAAATCACTTGACTTATACAGAAAACCAATTAGATATTTTTCTTTACCAAAATACACGACAATCTATACTTGTTCAATTTTGTTTAAACCAAAGCAGCCTTCACTAGTTTCATATGAATCAATCGAAATATCAACATAAAGATATACATTGCTTCTTCTTCTACCATCACATCGGTCTTTTCTGTAAAGATTATATTCATTTATGTTAACAACTGAACAATTTTTTAAACCAAGTTTCGCTTACACCAATAAGAATTGTGTCATCAACTGCTGCAAATTCATCAAATTTATTTTCTAAAGATGTTGCATTAAGGTACAAGCATTTCTTTAGGAGCCAAAGGTTTAATATGATTAAAAAACGTTAAACTGTTTTAGGATTGAGCTTAATAAAAAAGACTTTTTAAATCTTTGTACCTGATTCATACGGATGCCTTATTGATAGGGAAAATCTAATGCCAATTCAGAATTTAGAAAATTCAAAAAGAATAGGGCCAGGCCTACTCACAACTTTTTATTTTAATCTTCTTATACTAACAGGCTTAACATCATCTTTTTCTAATATCGATAAAATATTGTTTATCTTCTGCTGATCTTCAACTTTTTGTTCTGTTAATAAAGGATTTTCTGATTCTGGAACACTGTAAACGATGTTAATTTTTATTCTTCTCTCTCTTTCATTTTGATGATTGTTGCGTTTGTGACAATTTATTGATCAGAAGGCTATTTTTTATTATGACCTTTTGTTACTATTTTAATCCAGTCATTGCTGATATTTGAAGTTCTCAAGTACATGGCATTACCTAAATCTGGTTTATTTCCATCGAATTTTTTGTTTCATTATTTTCTAATTTCGAAACTCGATCAGAAAGTGACAAAACAAAAAGTGAAATTTCTCCACACCATTCATGCAATATTTTAGCTCCAGCTAAGTAATTACCTTGTCCTAAATTGGGCCAATTTTCTTGACATAGAAAGTTTATCTTAATGATTGAGTTTCTTTGGTTTTAGATAATAGAAGTAATGTATTATACATTTATGTATAAAAATAAGTATTCATACATCATATATTATTTGTACTTATATAAATGTTGTATACAAGAATATTATTACTTATATATAATCATATTATATATAAGTAATAATATACTTATATCATATAATATATGATATATGTACTTATATAATGTATATAAGTACATATATCATATATTATATGTACTATGTACTACTATATATATACATGTGCAACAAAACTTGCACAGTCAATAAGTAACCTTACATATGATGATCGACTTGTTAATTTATTTTACTACTTTAAATGTTAGAAGAAAAACAGGTGGCTTGATTCAATATTTAAATTTTTTCATAGCTTTAAAAATATAGAAATCAACAAAAGTTTTTTATTTGTAAATAATAACTTGAGAGGTAACTGTTTTAAATATTACAAAGAATTTGCCAGACATCCATCAAGAGAACATTTATATGTTTATATGTTATACACACACATATATACATATATGCATATATATATATGTATATATATGCATATACGTATATATATATATATATATATATATATATGATATAGATATATATAAATATATATATATATGCATATATGTATATATATGCATATACGTATATATATATATATATATATATATAAATATAAATATAAATATATATATAGATATATATATAGATATATAAATATATATACATACATACATATATAGATATATATATATATATATATATATATATATATATATATATATATATATATATATATATATATATATATATATATATATATATATATATATATATATATATATATGTATATATATATATATATATATATATATATTATTATTATTATTATTATTATTATTATTATTATTATTATTATTATAAATAAAAATACATATTTTTCACAACTATAAATTTTATGCTAAAGGCAATAGATGAAAAATATGATTTTATTTCTTGTAGAAAAAAAGTTCTGTACAATAGAAAAATGCGTTAAAAAAAATCTAATTTTTTGGTTTGTGGTTATCTAGCAGAAATTTGTTCTTATGGCGTCACTTGATATTAGTTTGCTTTTTTTGTTGAAAAATTCTTTGGAATTTTTATACAATATATATATATATATATATATATATAGTATATATATATATATATATATATATATATATATATATATATATATATATATATATATATATATATATATATATATATTGTATAAAAATTCCAAAGAATATTCTAACACATTTATATTCTAACACATTTTTCTCTTGTAGAGAATTATTTTTCCATAAGAAAAAATCATATTTTTTACTTGATAATTGCATTTAGCTTTTTTATTTATGCTTACATTTATGTTTAGGCATAAAAATTTATTTATATATTTTTTACCAGGGACAAACAATATAATATAGATTATAATGAACTTACTAATAGTGCAAATAAATTTGGTTTTGCAAAATATTTGCATGTAGACACAATGCCTAACTTAAAAATGGGTCTCAAAAGTCCAGAATATGCAGGCTTGTTCTTTGATGTCGATCCTGATAAAATTTTCATTGATCTGCGAGAAATTGGTCATGGGAGTTTTGGTGCTGTTTTTTATGCTCGTAACAATCAAACATCAGAAGCTGTGGCTATTAAAAAAATGTCTTTTTCAGGAAAAAATTCAAATGAAAAATGGCAGGATATTGTAAAGGAAGTCCAGTTTTTTGTCAATTTGAAGCATGAAAACCTTGTCAAGTACCATGGTTGCTACATTAAAGAAAATACAGCATGGGTAAATTATTATTTTTACTAGTTAAGTAAAGAATGTGATAGTGTTGCAGTGGCAGTGCACTTGCTTTATAAGTGGGAGGTACAAACCCCATTATTTCTATGGTAGCCTGTTTTGTGCACTTACCTTATTCCTCTAAGCATCCACCTTATTTATCAAGGTTTATGTTTTAGAGTCATAAGGTTGCAGGAAGGTTGTTATAACAGTGTAATAACATGGTATTTGTTTTTATTTTATATTTTTGTTTCAATGTTACTTTTTTTACTTTTTACTATAACTTTCTTTTAGTTTAGGTATAGGTAATTATTGTAAAATGAAAACTTCAAATCAGTTATTATAATAAAAACTTTTTGATTAATGACCATCTTGATTTTAGTCAAGCGTGTACTGGTACACCAGGATATTCTTAAAAATTATAAGACCTGGGCCCCTACCAAATAGTTACTTGTAACTTCAGTTAAATTCAGTAACTTTATTTCATAATTGTATATATTTTTTAATTTTTAGATTATTACATTTCTTTAGTAATACAAACTTTAAAATAATCATTTGAATAAGTTAAAAATAGTTTATGAAGTTAAAATTATTTTAGATTTGTTGTGGTGAATCTAATTAATGTTATATATACTTATATATGATAAAATAATAATATTAAAACAGGACTTTGAAATTAGTACACAGATCAATGTAATAGTGGCCTACTATTGGAATAATGAGATATGGATATGAGTGGAAAAAGTATTATATAAAGTATAACTATTAAAACTTCAATAATTATTACTACGTAGTATGTATTAGTCCTTGTTGTAATTTGTATGTATTATGATTTTTTTTGAAAGCAATTTGTATATGTGCAAAACAAAGAGAAATTTTACCAGTCAGTGTAGGAGCAAAAATATTGATTGAATTTGTATCCAGTGTAATTTGAGTCAGAAATTAATATAGAATTAAAACTTCATGAAAAAAGAAGAAATACCAATCCAAAATAAGAGAAAATTTAAGTACTAACCAAAACATAAGAGATTGAGATCCCAAAATGTTTACAAAATTGAAAATTTAACTTAGTTATGGATAATATTATTGCTTGAATGGGAATATAATAGACTTGAATTAGAATATAGATTGCCTTGCTTAGAATGTAGATTTTTGGGCAGTAAAAAACTTTATTGTGATCTTAAACTATTTGATCCAAGAAGGTCTGAAGAAATTGCGATAAATGGAATTCATTTAAAGCTATTCATAAAATTTGTGAACTTTTACCTCATATCGGTAAACATAAATTAGGAAAGCAATTATTGTTTGTGAAATTCTAACCTCAAATATCCAAAGCTGATATTAGAGATGTATATGATGTATATCAAAACCAAAGCAATTTGCAAGAAGTTTCTGATTTTTAATACTTTCAGGAAAATGATAATAATAGATGTACAAAAAAAAATATAACTCATGTTTATTATCATAACAAATGTTATTTATGAATTTAATATGTATTCTTTAGAGTATAATAAATTATAAAAGGAATTATATATTTGAAGTATAAAAGTTTCTTTTAACAAATCCTCTTACTCGAGAAACATGTGAACAATTTTTTTTGATAAACTGTGAAAGGGAATTGTTGGCAGACATTACACCCAATCAAGTCATCAACTTAACTTTTGAAAAAAGTACTGAAATGTTAAGAATCTTGAAAGTTTAGTTTTAAAAACGTTTTAATGAACTATTTCATCTAATAGTATACTATTTCCTCTATTGAACTATTTTTAATAACATGCTATTCATATTTTATAATTTATACAATGCAATCAAGATCACTTAAATAAAAATAATTATGTTAATATTGTTGCGTATTTATTTATTTTTATAGAACTTAAATTAAAATGTAGATTTGGTTTATTATTTAGGTTCATGTTAATTGTGTAGTTTTTTCTTAGTGTAAGAAATGAGTAGATAACCTGGCTATTATTATAGGTATACATAGAACTTATTGCTATTAGTAAGTATATTGTATATAGTAAGTGGGCCCTAATTATATCCTGTTTGCCGGTAGGGAAAATGAACCCAGTACGTGCCTTTGTTGTTGTTTTTTATGGATTATTATATGATCAAGCTGAAAAGGTGCATGTGTATAGGTTTAAGGAATCAGAATATAATAGGAATATAATAAAAATATAATATTTCATTAAAATAACAAGAAATTCACATTTTTAAGATGTTATTGGGAACATAAAAAGTGGTAATTAAGGATTTGTAATATGTAATTGAGAGACACAATATATAAATTTGGTTTTTGTCATGTAGTTAAGATTGTTGGTTACACAATATAACACTATGACAAAAAGTGTTATGTAGTTAAGATTGTGTAACCAACAAATCAGAGTGTTTCATTGAAAATTCTTAAATTGTAATTCTGAATGCACAGTTTTGTTAAATGTGCTAAGCAAAATGATGATTGGGTGACTCTTACGAAACTTAGGTGTCAAATATAAGATTATTTTTAAATGATTATAAAGATATATTAATTTAAAATACCTGCTTTAAATAATTTAAACATTTCACTGCAACTTTATTAACAATAAGTATTGTTATTATAGAAACTCTCAGAGAACTATCACATCTAATCATTAACATTTTTGCATAGTTTTTTCTTGCTCTCCTTGCCACCTGCTATATTGTGTGAGTAGGCTTGGGTAGTGTTGTTGTAAAAATTATAAAAAATCTTTGCATTTATTTTATGTACAATAGTATTGTGGGTTGTATTACAAATTTTGCACTATCACATCAGGTTTCATACTTATTTCCCAATATTTAACCTTTTATGAAATACCACTTGGAAAATGACAGTTTTTTAAAATTCTGTTTCATGCAATGTCATAATTAATAACTTGTCAAAAAAGGTTGCACTAATTGTAATTATTTTGATTTATTATATTTTCATTTTTAACAATTTAATGAGCATCAAGAAGTTGCATGAGTTCTAATATTTTTTGCTAAATTATGCTGTTGGATTAGAAAAGTTATCATTTAGAGTTTTAATTTTCTATTATCTGAAGAAAAACCAGAAAAAAGTTTCATTTCAATTTCTATCAATAATTTAGACAATGACCAAGAAAATATTGTAATTTGACTTCACACATTTGGCATAGATTTTAAAATTTTACTATAGCAAATACAATTAATCTTTCTGCATCAATTTATGTTAAATAACAGACTCTTGTCACCTCAATGTTTTAGAATTTACTAATTTTATATGTTATAAAGTTCATCAAAGTTAGAAAAATCTAAAAGTTGGAACCTTCGATTCCTTATAGTTTTTGAGATGTTTAAGTTTTAGTTTTCTTATTTAGCATTTTATGCTTTTTGTCGTTAAATAGCAATATTTAATGAACACTTGAAGAATCTACCTGCAATTTGGTAAATAGGCAATCTTTCACATGGGTTGATTTAAGTATATTGATTTTTTTAGAGCACCTTAACTACATTTAAATCAAAGGCATGTTTTGGGGTACTTCAATTATCAAAATGGTGGTGTCACCTTTATAGCTTTAAGTTGCTCAAGACCCTTAACATCAAACCGGTCCCTAATATTAAATTTTTTTTTTTTTAAAAGCATATCATGTTGGGTCTCAAAAGAAGTGAAATTTTATAAAAATTTTTTAAACAAAAAAAATTTATAAAAATGCATATTAAAAAAGTTTATTTTAAAAAACTATGAAAATAAGTACTTTTTAATTTTTTGTTAAAAAACAATAGTTTTTAAGCAATAAAATTTATACCAGTAGTCTTTATATAAAATGATTATTGTTTTTAGACATTTTATAAAACTTCACTTCTTTTGAGACCCATTATGATATGCTTTTAAAGAACTTTTTTTTTCAAAATATTAGGGACCCATCTGATGATCCAAGAGTCTTGAGCAACCCCTAAAAAATTTTTTTATTCAAAAATTTTTATTATTTAGTTTATAAAAATTATTATTATTTTCATTTCATTTGAATGTATATATGTATGTGTCATTATATGACTTTCTCTAATACATAATTGAAAGGTAATTAAATTTCATTTGATTTACCAATTAATAGTAATCATATAATATTCTTTAATTAATAGAATAAATATATATAGTAACAGGAAACAGGAAATTATACAGTAACAGGAAATTAATATTTACAGCATTACAAAAGGTAATGAAAGGCTGTGTTTATAAAAGATAAAAAATCATTACTGCATTTGGCTTAAAGCCTAAATAGCTTTTTATATTTAAAAAAGTGTTCTTTACAAAAAAATTATATAAATAAATTTATTATTTATAATTTTTTATGTTTGTTAAAAAAAAAAACTTCCTTTTACCAGCATAACAAGGCCAGGAAAATATTAATAGACTTCCTAATTTTGCTTTGCTAATAAAAATATTTTTATAAGGTACAAAACTTTAAAATTAGCATATCGGACCTTTTTCTCTCTCTCGCCTCTTCTTCTTCTTCTTCTTCAAAAAAAATAAAAGAAACAGTTTTTATGTTGACATTAAAAAGAATGATTTTCCTATATTTTATTAATTTTTTTTTAAAGAAAAAAGCAAAAATATAATTTGCTATATAAATATAATTACCTGTTTGTAAAATATATGTATAATTTTAATGTAACAAGTATATATTGTCCCTATATGAATATGTCTATGTAATGCTTGTGTTTATGTTTATATACACTTGCATGTTAGTTTATTCATGCATGTGTATATACCTATCTACCTTAAAGGTCTTATTTTTACATCACTCTTTTAATTGTGTTTACTTTTACTTTGTTTAACAATAAATGCAGGTTTAGCCAATTTGGATAAGGCGTAAACTTCGTACATGAAGTGTCTGTGGTTCGAATCCCGTTACTTTTTTTTTTGTTTGTTTTTTAAATCCTGCTACTCAATTATTTGCTTTGTAACCATTTATCTTTCCTTTTTTGTATATAAAATCTTTCTGTTGTTTGCTTTTGAATGATACTCATCTCTTCAC